AAGAACCTCCTATATTTTCTATTTGCTCAGGTATAGCTATGTGTACTGAACAAACACAGTGGGCCCACCCACCTCTTTTCATATTTGGAAATGGTCCCTTATATACACTTATTTTGGTACATGACATGTGAATAACCAATCAAAAGCTCAAAATGTTCCCCTAGTGGCTTTCTCAGCATAATTAAAGTATTCAGTGCCAAACTCGTTCTTTTAAAGCTTGGATTCAAAAAGGTTAGGTGAAACTTTAGTGAGCTCGAAATTGAATATTTCTTAGACCCAAATACTGCTTAGTTACTAAGTTTGATAAATTATAGAGGAATTCAATGGTATCGATATACTAATTTATGATTTTTGATTATTTAAAAATGTATATATAAAACTTTAAAAATATTATTTTGTTTCACATCCTCTATGTGCAAATTTTGATAAGGCTTAGCAACCTAAAGCAAGCAGCAAACGAATTCAAAGTTTGTAACAAGAGATAATTATTTTCCATAATGTATGAATGTAAAATGTTATGAAATTTAAGCTATTTAAACTAAACATTTCTGTTTTGTGTTATAATTTGTAGTCTTTCTAGAATGAAAAAGCATAATTTATATTTATTTCATAATTTTTTAATTGAGGTTATGAAATTGGTCAAATCAAACCAACCCATAGAGAGATACAGTACTGAAAATAACAAATAAAATATAAAGTATTTTTCCAAAACAAATTTGATAATTACCTGAAGGATAAAGAGATTTCACATGTGAAATTTTAAAATGTTCTAATGCATAAAAGTATTTTTAATCTTAAAATCAAAAGTACTTTGCACGTTGGATAGTCAACATTCTGAAAGAAAAAGTTTTATGAGAAAATTTTTAATTAAGAAATCTTATTACATAATTTAAAACCCTGATATTTTGTAAACAAAAGCCTTGTAATATTTACCAATAACCTACAAACTTTGTAAAGATGTGCATATATTATCAAAAATCATAGTATAATTACTCTCATGGATACTTTCGTGGTTATGGGCTGGGTGGATTCCAACCAGCCCGTAATGGAAGGGTTAATAGGGGAATAATTAGTAAACTAATAAAGTTTGTTGATGACATTAAATTATTGGGGATTTCCAGCTGTATTGAGGATATTGAAGTAGTACAGAATGATCAATTGGTGAATTGTACAAATATCTGGCAACTGATCTATAATTACAAAAAGTTCTATGCACAACTGTAGAAAAGGATCTTAGCATAGTGGTGGATAAGACACTCAAGCCACTGAAGCAATGCTCTGTTGCTAGAAGTATGGCTAATATAAACTTGGATATTTACAGGTACAAGAATTAGAAGTCAAAAGAGGAAGTTATCTCTCTACAGAAATCGCTAGTTCTACCTCACTTGGAGTATTTTGTTAAGTTTTGGTCTCCTCATCTAAGATAGGATATTCACTAAGAATAAAGTGGTTCAGAGGAGAAGTGCTAGGATGATTCCAGGGATGGAAGGGTTATCTTAAATAAATAGCCTAAGCTACCTTAGCTTATTTTCTTAAAAAAAAATAAGGGTAAGAACTAATCTTGTTGAAGTTCACATGATTACCCAGGGAAATGACAGGGTAAAGGCCTATCATATTTTGAGATACATTCTGAAGATAATAGGTTGAAAGAATAAAAGTTTAAGATTTGTATAAGATAGGATAGGCTTCAGTTAAGACAATTTTATTTTTCTTAAAGTGTGATCAACTTATGGAAGGAGTTGCTGCCAGCAGTAGTGTAGGTCAATGTTTTACAGGAGTTTAAATATATATTTTTCTCAGGTGTGGTTGTGCAAGGACAGCCTTCAATGATTTATTGTCCCTGAATATAATGAATAGTTACTAAAACTTGGTCAGATTCAGAGAACAATGATAATACGAATTACTCTAAAACTTGAGGTTAAAAGTTAAAAGAGGGGGCGAGTTAAAGTGGAGGAAGAAGGGGTCATTATATAATTAGGTTTCATGTTTTGCTATATGTTGAGAAAAAATAAATAAAGGTCTTACTAAACATATAGTATATGTTAATAGTTAACATGACAAATGCAACAACCAGTCATGAACAGATTTAGAATTCTCCCAGTTACTCTTATAACTGTTTTAAATCACTTACTTACATGTAACTTGGTCATAGGCTCACCATTTCTGTTTCTAAATACTATAAAGAACTCAGATATAAAATGGTTACAAAATAATTAATCTTGCTCATTTAAGATGTTTCAACCTATTCCTTCCACTTATTATATGATAAACGTTAAATTTGATTAATTAATCTTGTGATTTCCATAACAACAAAGCAAGTAAACTTACCTAAGTCAAATAAGACCCAAAATGTATGTAAACCACAAATAAAATAATATTTCAATAAAAAAACTATAACTACTTAATGGTCCTCAAGAGTGGACAAGAAATAAACAATTATAAAACTCTCAGTATATATATATGAATTAGTTCAAAGTAAGTTCTTACCTTATCTGTCACATCTCCAGCAAACACTGCTGCATTCACTGTCATTGAAACGATACATCGAATCACACTGATGACAGCATTTACAAAGACCTGAAACATAAATCAACTTAATATGATCATGTTTTTCAAGGCATAGACAAGAATTTCATTTAATTTCAGTTTTCAAATGTTTGTTTAAAAAAAACATTTTTGAATTGAACTGAAATTTATTTAACAACCAATAGTTTTAGCTAGAAACTCTACAAGTTAATAGACATGGGACCCTAGGAACACCAAGATATCTGCCACTCTTGGTCTCCTGGGAGAAAATCTGTGACTACCTATGATGTTAGAAAAACATGTAGGTTCAAGAAGTCTTGATAGAAATGAATAAAACCCTATAACCTGAGCACTTTTGAAAGGTGG